TAAATACAAAATAAATGAATAAATGGAAAATAAATTAAATTCCAAAAAAATTAAATATAAAATAAATTAAATGCAAAATAAAATTCGTGGAAAACCCACTGATCATTTTTAGCTGTATTTTAAAAAGCACAAAATCTACATAGAAAAATTGATCGAAACTTCTTACGTTTTTAAGATATTCAAATAAGACTTTCATTAGTTGTCAAATACGATCCACTACAAGAATATGGAGGAAAAAAAAAAACTTTTTTTTCGAGCATGCGCAGTACTAAAGAACTACTTGAAATACTTACATCTTGCGTAATTTTAATCTAATATTTTTCAAATTTTAAAACAACAGTTTTGTATTGAATTTTAAATAGCCCAAAAAATTTTATTTAATGTTAATGAATGTTTTTAAAGTTATAGCAAAAAAGTAGGGCAAAAAAATTTTTTTTTTTATAAAAATGTCGATATTTCTATAAATAATTAAGGTAGAATTGCGAAATTTTATGCAGTAACTGCAAATAACATCCAAAGTAATCGATAAAAATTACAAGCTTATTGCTTGATTTTCTGGCATAGGGTGTTTAAAAATACTAGTTTTTTTTTCGTAATTTACTTGTCGGCCCCTAAAACCCCCTGAAAGCTTTAAATCTTATTCCAAAGTATGAAAAATCGTATGAACAACTCTTTAAGTTACAAAATAATCCTCGGAGTATTTCTTGAGAAATTTAAGAAAATGTCAAAAAGTGAAAGTGTCTTCCATTATTGTAGGGTAGTGTTATATACTTTTTTTTTATCTTCATATTTAATTTCTATCGGAAACTTAAAAAAAAAAAAAATTCATTTTGTAAGCAACAGGCATTTGTCTCTCAACAAATGCCTGCAAATTATTAAGATAGTGCCTATGAAAATATATTCTCTTAGTCAATATCAACTGACCACAAAAAGTGTTCACGCTGTTATCAAAAATTATGTACAAGTCAGCAAACGAAACTTATTGTGTTTTCTATGACACGACAAGCAGCTGTTTCGAACTGCTTATTCGACAAAATTATCTAGGGTTTATTTTTATTGTACTTTAGTTTTGATAAGAATAAAAGCAGTGGAAAACTTACTGTCTTGTTTACTTGTGATACGTGATGCTTTTTATTCCTTGTTGTCGACCAATTATTATATAATTTACATTGTTGATTCTTAAAATATTATATGACTAAGAAATAGCTAATGCATTCAAACAGTGTTAATATTGTTCTTTGATATAGTAGTATTCAGTAAATTGATCATTATTCAGTAAATTATTTTGTTATGCTTGTATTTTTAAGGATTTCCCGTACCTTAATATTCAGGTCTTCCAACTTTCTACGCCTTTAGGCTTAATATTTTCTAGTGGTAGCTAAATTTGTTTTAATTTATGATTCTTTGTTTTATAAATTTGATTTAAAGTTCTTTTTCACATCAGTACATATTTACATGTGCAATACATGTAAATGATTCAAAAGTTAATATGAAACGCCCCTCTCTCGTAGAGAGGCTTTAAAATAGTGGCAAAATTAGCAAAAATTCTGTAAGTTTTAGTTTTTAATTGTCTACCACTCTAAAATATTTGCAGAATGCGTAGTAGTTGACAGTCTTGAATGTTTAATTATTTTTTTTTTTAAATTTTAATTAGCATCTTAAATTTTATTTTGATCTATTCACTTGATCCGCTCAGAATAAATGGCGTTGTGTTACAATAAAAATACGTCCTATTTTAAAAACTGAACTTATTGTTTGCTGGTTCATTCTCAGTTTATTCCTCAGTTAGAGTTGTCCTACTGATCTTTTTTCCTTTTCTTTTTTTAAAAGTCAGGCGTAATTTACAACTCCAATAGATTTTGTAACCTTGAGTGCATAGAGTAAGATTTTACCTTACCTTCCTTAAGTAAGGTGCAAGTATATCCGCATTTGGCTCTTACGCCATATAACCCTAAAAGTCAATCTGTTAAGTAGCCATTCATTATCTGCAAGTTAGAGCATGTAGAGCTTCTCCAGAAAAGTAATAAGTTTAGTGCATCTCTTTTTGCATAAGGTATTAATTAAGAACCTCAGCATTTTCATAATTCGTATACATTTGTATAGAAGTATGTGTCATAGTTTCCTATAGAATAATTCTTTTTTTTTTTAATGAGTACTATTAAAATATGTTAAAATATAAATCTGCAAAACACTTAATTTTTATGGGCACATTTAAAACTGCAATGTTTGTGAAGGGAGTTATAGTTAACAAAACTTTTCGTAAGACTTATCCCTAAAAAGGGCTTTTGACGTACGTACATCACTTTGACACTCACCAATTAAATTGCTTACCAAAATAATGTAAGTTAAAATTAGAGATACAGATAGTTTCGGTACTAAAAAGCAGCATAATTGTCGAGACACAGAATGATGATGCTTGTCTTATGGTACCATTGTCTACAGGGCCGTCTTAATAGCAAGCAGAATAATAGCGTCTTAATAGCCCCCTTGGGCACAGAAATGTTTTGGGTCCCTATAACATATCATACTGTTTAAAATCAAACTAAAAAAAACTTTACATACATTTTTTAAGATATGCAATAATTCTAACACACTTAAACACATTTTTATTATCCCCAAAACTCAATGCAAATAAAATAAAACATTCTTAAACTGCGAATAATTTTTAAAAAAAAATTGAGATGCTAACTAGTTGCGATTCACAAATAAAATTTTAGAAACTAAGAAGCTAATTAAAATAATTAAATTTAAAAAAAAACAGGGTATAACGAATAGAAAAAAATCAAAAGGTATGAATTATTTCGTCAAACTTTTTAAGTCAGTTTTTAAAATATCTTTCAGTGCACATCAGACATAACCAGTTTAAAAGCTGCTGTCAGATAGCGTTGTGCAATTCTAAACATAATTGGTGGAGGTCAAGCATAATCAGAAATATTATGACTTAGAGTTGAATACCTAAAAACTTCATTTTAACGAAGAAAAATAGATTTTGGTTGACTTTTTAAGTTTACTTGGTGATAAACTATTCAAATTTTTGGTGTTGTTGTTGCTTATCCTCACTGTCTGACGGAGTCAGACAAGATCTACGAGTTCGTTGACTGAAAGGAAGTCGAAGACTAGGAGAGGATTGCGAAAGAGATCCTCCTTAGAGAGTCCCATGCAATCCAAGAGGTGCTCAGGAGAAGCCTGATGAATTTGGCACTTGGTGTAGGTTACGAAGGTTTTCCTGCCCTCCTTGAAAGTGAGGCACTTGATGTGACCGCTAGCAAGCCTTGATAGAACAGTCCGGGTACGTCTGTCACACGGGAGGTCAAACCCGGGTTTGATCCCTTGTACCAGTTGTGGGTGTTTTCCACTCCTCCGAGATTTTTGATTTTTCCAGAGAGTATAACTCCAAAAAAGTAAGTGTGGAAGAGGGAGTTATTGTAATCATGCTGTCCTCCTTAGCAAGAATATCGGCCATTCCATTCCCGTGGAGATTCACATGGGAAAAAAACGATGATGGGATTTTTGGTGTTTGCATGATAATCAATCACTATTTGTAGAAAAAAATGTCCACTTTTTCAACGAGAATATATTGATTTTAAAAAATATATAATGCAATGTTTATTCTTATTTTTTTTTTTAATACAATTTATGAAAAGTAAGATTCTCAAGGGCCGCCTGATTGCTTGGGGCCTCAGGGCACTGCCCGGGTGTGTCTATGCGTAAAGACGGTACAAATTGTCTATCATTTAGAGAGAGATAGTGGTACCGAAACCATTGTTACTCTAAACTTTTGTTTGAGCTGATTTTATTTCTATATAATTTTATCTACCAACTCAAAAAGAACCCTACTTTTATATATATAAAAATTGCTAAAGTTTAACACTAAACGTGCCATAACCGACCGGTCAAATGACGGTTTAAGAACTTTTGCATCGAAAATGCGCTTATCATCTTATCGTTTTTGCACATTTGACTTCATGACTTTTTCTAACAATTATATACAGTTAATATTTCATTATTAGTATTATTACTTTTTTGTATTTTGTTCGTTTCGAATAATACTTGTCGTATACCCATTTCTACCACAACCGGTCATTTGACCGGGTGAACTATTTATTGCTTTATAAGGTTATCGGATCAGAAATTACTATGTAATGCGAGTTCAACGTATTGCATTCAATTAGTCGCAAATTTCTACAATGACTGTTGCGTAGTTGGTTCAATCAGAATAACTGTGAATTCAAATTTCAAGAAAGTACCTAAAATTTTAGATTGGGATTTTTGTGTAAGAAAAAGTGACAAAAATTAAATGTTTAGGTAAGTAGTTTAGATTTTATTTTGATAGCTTTACTTCATTTCTAACTAACTGTTAGTTTTTACCCAGAAAAATGTCGAAACAATCAAGACAGCACAAGTTCTTAGAAGAAATAATATTAATTATAAGAATATTTATAGGAATTATAATTTTTATATATTCTTATAATTATAAGAATAATATTTTGCAAATTATAAGAATAAGAATAATATTTTGTAAATTATAAGAATAATTATAAGAATAAGAATAATATTTTGTAAATTATAAGAATAATTATAAGAATAATATTTTGTAAATTATAAGAATAATTATAAGAATTATAGATATAATAATTAGAAGAAATATTGTTTGCTGAAAATGTACAATGGAAACACCCTGTATATGTAAAAATGTGTTGAGTAATGAATTAAAAATTCTTATTCTTTGTGTTTGTAATACACAAAAATTGGCAATACACAATTTTGTTTAATTATAATAAAGTTTTTTTTAGTTTATTTCCTTCCTAACATCCATATTACATACATTCAATCAAGAAACATGAAGTCCAGTCATTTGACCGGCTATGGTAAAAATAGGAATATATTAAGTGTTGGTATGTTTAGTGTTAAAGATAGAAGAAATGTAGGAAATACTCATTACTTGCACTACATTCAAATTATTACTCAGTATAATGCTCATTTTTTCCTTTCATTTTCAGGTGTTCCAAGAAAGAAACATGTCATTAAGTAATAAATCTACTTCTCAAGCTAAACTTGTTGCAGTGATAGGAGCTGGTGCAAGTGGACTGACAACCATTAAGAGTTTAAAAGAGGAAGGATTTTACGTTGTATGCTACGAAAAAACAGATGATTTGGGTGGACTATGGAAATATAGAGATGAGGAAATAGAAGGAGTAGCTTCTATCATGAAAAACACAGTATCCAATATTAGTAAAGAACTTATGGCATTTAGCGACTTTCCTCCACCAAAAGCTTTCCCAAATTTTATGTCACACAAATATGTTTTGAAATATTTAGAAAAATATGCTGAAGCTTTCGATCTTTTACGCCATATAAAGTATCGACATGAAGTGATTAGGGTATTACCTACAGCTGATAATTACAGAACAGGACGATGGGAAGTTACTATTAAAGATAATGCCAAAAATAGAATTTTAGTCGAAGTTTTTGATGGTGTTGCAGTTTGCGTAGGACGATATGGATTTCCTAAAATTCCGAATTTTAATTCTTTGGAAACGTTTAAAGGTAAAGTTCTCCATACGCACAACATCAAAAGTTTCGAACAATTTAAAGATCAAAGAGTGCTCATTATTGGTTCTGGAAATTCTGGAGCAGATGCTGCTGTGAATCTGTCAGCAGTTGCAGACGAGGTAAGTTTACTTATCCAAGCTTATTTCTATTAGCGATCACAACGCTCGAATACACCCCATCTGGGAAAGAAGACCGATTCCATGTCGTGACCCTCCCTCCTTCTCTTCTCAATTGTATAGGAATGTACTACGATATTTTCCAATTTCTTAATATTTTTCGTATTTAACTTTCAAAAACATTTTTTAAAAACTACCACGACGCTTTCTTTTAGAACTATGTTCAATGTTTTCAGTTCCATATACTTTCCAAACTAAAAAGTTTTTAATCTATTTGAAAATCATGACAAAAACTAACGTACTTCCTTCTTCTATGACTCTCCACATGCGAAAGGTGAAAGCATGCGAAGTGTTGTCATATGTAAAGTGTTCTGCTCTACGCCACCTGTAGCCTATTTCAGTATACAATAAACAGAAATGCCAAAAAAATTAAAAAAATTTAGTTAATAATTTATTAAAAAAATAAAAGTAATAAAATAATTTATTATTAAATAAATTATTTTATATATTTGCATTGGTTAATATATCCAATAATTCCACAAAATTTCGTAAGCCTAGCTTAAATATTTATGGAAATATCTGCATTTTAATATATAATTAATTTTTTTTACGTTTTTTTTAGCTATAACTTTAAATATATTCAATAAAATTAAGCAACATTTTTAGAGCAATTTAAAATTAATTACAAAATCTTTGTTTTAAAATTTGAAAAAAAATTGCTTAAAACTGTGCAATATGGATGGCGTTTTCTACATTAGGGTGCACTGGGAGCTCTTGATACTTCTGGGTTACTGTTTCCTGTGTAGTTTGATGCCATTTGACTCACAACATGATCCTTGTGATTTGAGACTCTCTTCAGTAGTATTTCTTGCAGACGTGTATTTTTTGCCCGATTTATTATTTATGTTTAAAAAAAAAAAGGAATCGTTACAAGAATCGTCATTTGAAGACGTAGGAATCATAATTTGAAAAAAAAAATCGTTAAAAAGCACTTATTACTTTGTCAAATATATATCAAATTCAAATCTAAATGATAATTTGTAAACTGAACTTAATCTCGCTGCTCGAACAATATGCTAACACTAACGTATGATGGTGCCAGCTTGCAACAAGAACAAATATTAATAAACAAGTAAAAAGTTGCCAAATCTGGACTGCCAAAAAAGTGAGTTCTTTCTTAATCTAGCAACCATGTCTTTTTAAACAATACATTTATAAATAACTAAAACAAATTTTCACTTCAAACTCCCCAGAATTACTGAAAATCATTCAGATCTTATGAATTACAGCAGATTTGAGCTCAGAAATTATATCATTTATTATTTTATAAAAAAATAAATGATCTGTTTGATAGTATCGCCTGGCAGAATAAGTTGAAATAAACAGTTGTATACTTTCTAATCGGAAGTAAAGCAGGTCATTAGTACGAGATTGTTGTTGTTTACATTTATATTGAAAACACCATCCATAAAAGAACTACTTTAATTACTCATAGTCATATCTTGCCAAATATTAAACGAATTTTTATCCAATTTTAAAGCAACAATTTGGAAATTAATTTTAAATTGCTCCAAAAATTTTGTTTCATTTTATTGAATATTTTTAAAGTTATAGCAAAAACACGTAAGACAAAGTTTTTTTTATAAAAATGTCCATATTTTCATAAATATTTAAGCTAGGCTTACGATTTTTTTTAAATTATTGCATATAACCAAAATAATTATCAACAGTTTCAGATCTATTGCCACAGTTTTTGACACAGAGGGTGTTCAAAAACATTATTTTCCGTTTGTAATTTATTGTCGGTCCCTCAAACCTCTAAAAGCTTAACTTCATTGATATGTATGAGAAATCGCATGATCTAAAAACTTCTGTAATTATAAAATAATTCTTTTATTATTTCTAGAGAAATATAAAACATGTATTAATATAGATGCGTTTCCATTATTTTGTCCACCCCTTGTATTTATATGGGTAAGTATGTGTCCACATGTATGTGTATATATGTAGGCATGGGAGTATGTATATGTGTGTAAATATATGAAAATGTGTATATATAATAGATGAATAAAAGGCATAAAGAATAAATAATAGATAAGAAAAAATTTAAATGAAAAATTAAGAATTTAAGATTGTTTTCTTGGCTTTTTTATATAATATATTTGTACTTGAAAGTGTTTTACTTATGCTCGTCTCATAAAGAAAAATCATGCAAATAATCTAAAATCAAGAAGAAAAAAATTCATGCGAGGATTGACATTGAATAATGAAAACTACCCTCACTCATTACTCAGCAAAAGCTTTATTTAAGAAGTAAGAGGGAGAGAAAAAAAAAACTTATTTGAATGAGTTTCAAAGATATAAAAAGTTCTAATTTTGGGGTACACACAAAAAAAACTGTTTTTATGAACTTGACAGAATTTGGTGAGAATGATAAAAAGTTTATACCAGCTGAAGTTAAAAAGCAGCTACTAAAGATTTAGTCCTTCATAAAATTTTTGTAATTACTAACATTACTACATTTAAATGGAATAACATACAGAAACATGTAAAAAAAATGTCATTTAGCTTTTTTTTAAATTATTAAATAGCTTAGTGTTATAACTATTTGCAAAAATTTGTTGTTTTTTCTTTTTATTCACTGTAGTATAAGAAAAAGTAATTCGCTCTAGTATTTTGGAAATAAGTTTTTCTCTTCTCTTAAATTGGTGGCGATGCATTTTTAAATATTTTTCACACTTGTGCAAAACCCTTCAGATTATGCTTGACTTGACTTTTTAATATGAATAAGAGTTCAATGTATCCGTTGTACTTTTCCTCATCTCCCTTTCGTTTTTGAATCAAACATAGTTTGCATCAACCTTGAATTTTACTATTTTTAATAGAAATATTCATTTAAAAATTTTTGCATTGAGTTTGAGTCATTGTAATCGCACGCTCTTGTTGCGTACTATCAATCAAAATTGTACTTTATAACAATTTATTATACGCATACCTTTAAGAAAAGAGTGTTTTCATTTATTAACTATGAGCGTTTTTTAGGTCAATTTGCATCGGTAATGAAGTAACTCTAAGACTGTTTTTCTCAATAGCTCAAAATTTAAATATGATTAATTTGTGAAGAGCATAAGTAAAAGAAGTACTATTAAGTTATCACCGAATTTAAAAAAAAAAAAAAAAACGCACACACATACACACATAAAATTACAGCTTACTTTAACCAATTGTCAGTGAACTTTATATTCTGTACATATATCCATTTTCTTAAACACGTATTTTGGGCTAACTATTTAAAAATATAGATATAACTATTTAAGAATATGGACATAGCATTAGATTCCGATTTTTAAACCTCTCATGCAAATGATTTTTAAAAAAATAATAAATGAAATAATGGATCCAAGGTTGTCATGGGTCCTGTAAATGTATAATAGTGGTATTAAATTGACATTGTGCAAATTCAGATATTTTAAAATCACTTAATCATTTAGTGTTCTGAATACAAAAAGATTCCAGAAAAGTTAAATCTGTAGTATACACAAATACCCCGAAGTCGAGGATTTTTCTCCGTAATGATCATGCCTAATGTCTAAAAAAAAAATAATAATAAATACGAAATTCCTTGCTTAGCTGTTCAACTTGGATTGAACATTGAAAAGGCGCCTTTTATACTGAGTAAATTTTCTTAAACACGTATTTTGAGCTGTGACCAAAATAAAAAGCTCCCCGACGAAATGCGTATTTTACTCTAACGATTGATATGTTCCAAGAGCCATTTTTTGTATACTGACAACTATGTATATTTAAAAAAAAAAACTAATGTGCATTAAAGTAGCCACTAAAAATAAGGAAAACATCGCAAGCTAAACTTAAACAGTTTATAATTTGCATATAATATGAAAACTTTTATAAAACTTTATATTTACCTTTGCGTTTTTTTTTCTGTTTAGGTGTATTTAAGTTCCAGACAAGGTACGTGGGTTGTACAGAGACCAGGTCCAAAGGGTTTGCCTGCTGATCTAAACTTCAATCGAAGAATAGTCAATGCAGCCTTTCAAAAATTTCCAAAAAAGCTTATATTTTGGTACTTGGAAAAGCAAGTGAACAAAAATTTCAACCACAACACATATTATTTAAAACCTTCTCACAGATTTATGACAAAACGCCCTACGATCAATGATCATCTTGCGAGCAAATTTTTAAGTGGAGATGTTATTTTAAAAGGTTCTGTGAAACATTTTACTGAAAAAGGTGTGGTTTTTCGTGGTGAAAATGAAGTCACAAATTTTGATGTTGTGATTATGGCGACTGGTTACCAACTAAAAGTTCCTTTTTTAAACGATATCATATTTCAAGTTATTGGAGATCATGTACCTTTATACAAACATGTTTTCCCTCCTCATTTATCAATTCCATCCATGGCAGTTATTGGAATGACTCAAGTATTCGGTAGTCTCTTGCCAGTTTCTGAAATGCAAGCACGATGGTTTGCCAACGTACTTAGCAACAAAGTACCTTTTCCAGATAAAGGTGATATTATCAATGACATCACACTTAATTCGGAGAGGGAAACAAGACTCCTTCATTCTAGTGCACGTAATTGCATGCAAGTGTTTTCCATTCCTTATTTAGATGAATTAGCAGAACTAATTGGTGCCAAACCAAATTTTAGAAAAATGTTTCTCAGAGACCCAAAATTATCATGGGAATGTGTAATGGGACCCTGTTTGCCTTATCAATATAGGCTTGAAGGTCCGCATCCATGGATAGGAGCTCGAGATGCCATTCTCAATTACAAAGAGAGAATTCTAGCACCTTTGAGAACAAGATATGAAGCACGCCAACCATTCGTAAATACGTAATAAAAAATTCATGTCACCTAATCATTTTAAGAATCGAGCTAATAGTTCTAAACTTTTTTACAACTGTGAACTCTTTGTTAGTGAAAATACATTAGTATCCTTACTTTAAAATGAGCACTAAAATATCTTCTGTGCACACTTAATATTTTTAAACAATGAATTTTAAATTTGATGCTACATTTGTACTATGAGAATATTTTAATTTTTTATATAATATACGTGATTGATGCTAAGATTAGTAGTTTTTTTTTTAAAGAATTTAATGTTTTTTTATATGTTAAAATACTTACATAGTAATTGGTTGAATATTTTTATAATAAATTTTTTAAATCCTTTTATAACTGCTTTAAATTATTTTTTTAAAAAGCTGACAAATTTTCCACTTCACTTTCATGAGTAGTGGCTTTTAAACTATAGCACTCGACTATCAGAATTGTTTTTAATAAGATTAATATTTATATTTTATTAAAATTTATTGTAAATAAATTTTATTGTAGCTCTTGTATAATGTTTTCAATTGACATGCATTCAAACGTTCACACATGAACAACAATGCACATTATATGTTTTAACATGTCAGAATATATTTGACATTTAATGTTCCTTTAATTTAGAATTTTGCCTTTTATTTCTTATCAAACTGGACTGTCAAGCTATCTGTGATTTGTTTAATAATGAATAAAAGCATCAGTATTTATTTTTACATTGTGTTGTTCATTTAACAGAAAAGAAAATCAATTAAGTTCAATTCTCTTACGTCAAGCTTCAAAATTTTTTTTGTTCTTTTAAAGAAAGTGACAGTGCAATTTTCTCATGATTAACGTCTTTTAATATGCATAATTTGACTTATAAATAATTCCGAACTGGACAAATTACATTTTATCGACTTGGAACTCTCAATAAAATTTTTAATTTTGATAAATTAACAAAATCGTGATAAATGACCCTCCTCAGCATTAAAGAAGTTAGCATTTTAATTTATTCTCTGCTTCAATTTAAATATTTTTTTCTGAATAGCATCAAAAATTAAAAATAACAAATTTATTGATTATTTAAAATAAACAAAAAATTTTTTTTGTTTCAAAAATAGGACTACTTATGATTTGGTCCATATTTCTTCAGATTTAAATATTTTGTATCACAAGTTTCAAAGGCCTCACTTGTATTTATCTTTTTTCTTATATTTCATAGATAACATTTTATTTTGCTGAAATTTTCGCTTATTAATGTTGACAAAAAACATCTTAAAACAAACTGTGTTGATAACAGATGGTTAAAGCATAACTTGAAACAGTTTATTGAATTCTTAAACTCATAATATCCATTTAAAATCATTAGGCTCTTACTATTGATAACACAAGATTACAGCTATTTCCTTAAAAAAAAAAACTGTCTTTATTGGCTTTTTTTTTTATGTCTTGCTATTCATTTCAGACCTCTGTATGTTAATTTATTTGATTAATTACTATTTAGTAAAAATTGAGCTAGAATATTTTATAAAATTAATTTAAAATTATGCTTCATACATGCATACATTATTGCAGCAAGGTGAAATGCCTTACAAGTTGAATAGCTAATGGTTATAATAGACATTAACCATATAATTTGAAAGATATTTTCTTATCTTTGAGTTGTAGATTTTCTTAAAAATTCCCATAAGATATTGCTTTGAGTGATTGATATTTGCTTTCTGATTTCTGTATTCTCATTGAAGCATTTTTTTACTTGTTGAGCTTAGAATAAAATGCACAGAAAACAAAGCAGAAAAATTGGTAAAAATGTTATATTTTAGAAAGTCTTCCATTGATTTGAGATTTTTGTTTTCAGTTTTATAATAAGTACACTAATTTTGTTTTCAATATAAAGTTATTTAGCGTGGATTAACTCTTCTGAAACTGAAATATATTTTGTTCTAAACACTAAAAACAATTTGATACTTAAGAATGTAAATTTGTTCTCATAAGACGAGCAATTAAATTTTAAAGTGGATTTAATTTTTCCGGATCATATTACCGGTCAAAAATGACATTACTATATGTGAGAAAGGAGATGGTATTAGCTGGCATTTGCTTGACTTCAGAGACAGATTTAGTTTTCACATTTAACATGTTAGATTTTATTTTTATATTTAATAAATTTATTCTTAATTTCATTAGTCTCAAGATATGTAACTACATAAAATTTCAAATATATTTATTAGCCTATTTAAAAAAAAATGGCTGTTCAGTAAAAAAACAATACAATTTACTGATTTTTAAAAAGGCATTGATGACAAGAAAAATAGTTCTACAAGAGTTACGTTTTTATAAGCCATGATAGGTAATTAATACAAATATTGAGACAGTGTTTTGTTTATGTTACAAATGTTTATCATGTATAAAGCGTATGACAAAACAAATTTTTTTTTTAAATGCTTAAAATTGTGCATAATAATAAAAACTATTCACATTTTGTAGAATTTTGTTGTAATTTCTATAAGAATCAAATGTCATAGAAATTATACTTAAGACTGTTATTTCATTTTTATAAATGTTTATGTTAATAAATCCAAACCACATGTGAAAACAAAATCTATCGCCAAAGTCATGGAAATGCCAATACACGTATCTCCCTTTCCTCACGTAGTAATGTCATTTTTGACCAACAGCATTATCCTGCCATTTTAAAATTTAATGGCTCGTCTTATAAGCTATTATTCATAGCCTGATCTTAATTATGACAAGTTTCATCAAATATATATATATTTGCCTCTCAGATTTGTAAAACTTTTCAGTTTATTTAATTTTTGTTTAAAATTTCCTTTAGTGGTTTATAATAAGAGTTATTATTTTAGATTAGGTTGTAAAAACACAAAATTTATGGTAGAGGTGGTTCAACAATATAATTTTAAAAAAAATCATGAGGTATGATTGGTCCCCATTGATTTTTGTATTTAGTTTGAACTTCACAACTGATTTAAAACAATAGAAATACAAAGAGAATGAATTATTAATGCCAATGACAAAATTCTTAGAGTAGATCACTCTATTTAAAATTGTAACACTGTCACATTAAAATTGAAAATTCTCACTGTCAGCATCCATAAAAGGCAAATTATGTTATTGATTAAGAAATGCTTTAAATTATTTAAAAAAAAGTTAGAAACCAAAAATAAGCAAAACAAAATTTTAAAAATATGTATATTAACAAAAACAGCACTTCATCAGGAGACACACCGTCTGCTAACACACTGGAGCCTTTCTGTTAGCAGACAATGTGTCCCCTGATGAAGTGCTGTTTTTGGGAACATATATATTTTTAAAATTTCGTTTTGCTTATTTTTGGTTTCAAACTTTTTATTTAAATTGTTTACATAAGACAAATTTGGTTTTAGCTGCTTTTTAGCACTTTTCCATTTTAACTTATTATTTTAAAGCTTAATAATAAAATTTATTTTAAAATTTGTTTAAATCAATTTCATACTTAGATTGGATGCTTTAAACTCTTTTTAATAACTATTTTGAATGTGTTTATATACTAATGGGAAAAAAACATATAACTGGCTGAATTTAAACAGCAGTATATCTTATTTGTTGATAAAATCAAATTACACTCTATATTTTCCAAAACAAATATTCAATCAATAGCTTATTTTTTGGAGCACTTTAATTTTCCCAAGTTATTTTTATACATATTTAAACTCAGTAAAGTTTCAAATTTTACAAAATTAAAAAGATTTGTGAAAGAAAAATGAAATGAATACAATCCATGTGCAAGTTTTTCAAACCATATTTAATATTTTACAAATCTAAGACTTGTAACAGAAATAGAGTAATAATAAATATTAAAAAAAGTAAGTTATATATAAAAGAAAATAGTAAACCTAGAATCAACTTTTGTGCTTTTTTTCGTTACAAAAAAAGTTATTAAAGAAATACTATTTAAAAAGTTTCTACAATGAAGATTTCTCCCCTCTTTAATTCTCTTCATGCTTTTTTTTTTGTCTCTACATTCCTTACTTAAATAATTGAATTATGTCTTAAATTTTTATTAATTATTGAATTGCAAATTGGATCCATCCACAATCATAAGCACTCAATAATATAAATATTGCAAAGGTGAAAAGTTTATTTAAAGAACTGATTAGAAAATATTCCAATTTGAAGATAAGATTCAATATAAGTAATTTCATTATTTTTTTGATTAAGCAAAGAAAAGAATTTCATCGACTTTTGAAGAAAAAAAATTGTTAAGCCAATTAGCAAAAGGAAATTAGTAAAAACCCTTACAATTCACCAAGTTGACAAACCTATGAATATTGAAATATTAATTTTAAATGTTTTAAATGATTTGTATTAGATAAATGAAATTTTTAAAAAAGTTTGCTCATGAGAAAATATTAAGTGTTTTATTCCTTTTTCACCACATAACTAGTCAGATAAATAATAAGCCTTAATATTTTATAGAATTAATGGACAGTTCCTAGGGTAAAAATTTCAAACTTTAGAATTATGAATAAATCTCATATACCAGCCCTTGGCCAAAGAATACCTAAAGAGGCCTTTTCATTTCAATTCTAACCTTCAGTAAGGATAGGTTCGAAAAGGGACGGAATATATTGCACCTCCAAAACCCGTTCCTCTGTCTCCCCTACATTTTTTGTGGGGGTGCGTGAGTTAAGTAACCCGAAACTAATTGACTAACCACTGTCGCAGAAGGGGGATTGCAACCTGCGGGGGTCAACTAGCTTTCAAAAGATATCAGAAGAAACTCACTCTTCATCTTATATTATGCTTTTTCTCTTTCTAAGAAAAACTTAAAAAATATTTTTTTTAACTCTAAAACGACTTTATTTATTTTCAAAATAGTTTTATCATTTTATTTAACATGCACTTTTTCTAATTATATCTTGAATTGTTTATTATTTTGATTTGATTATTTAGAGAACTAATAATAACCAGAGTATTTAAATTTATAAAATTTTACTATGTAGTCATATGAAAGTAATTCATATAAAGTAACTACATTAAAAATAAATTTATATTTTCTCTATAGATCAAATAAAGTTTGTTAATTTTTTTAAAATTGATTTGCTAATTTTTAAAACTTTTTATGTTAAAGTAAAACCTTGAGTTCAAGATTTTATTTTTTTATTACGTATTTAATTTTCTTCTTTCAATTACAATTCAAATACAAATATTTTTCACAATCTTTTTTTAATTTTAATTAATTTTTTTTAAAGATTGTTACACCGTTTTGAAACTAATTAAATTCTACCACTTTAAAAAACTATGTTAACATTTAATCCATTGTTTAAGCAAATATGGTTGCTTACTATGTAAATTTGATTTAGACTTAAATATTTGAATTTCGCAATTTGAATGAACTAAATTAACCTTCACTAAAAACTCACTTCATTTTAATTATTACTTTTGCTAACTACAATTATTATTGTATAAATAACTCCGAACTGGAATTATGATTCGATCTTAAAAAATAAACACCGGGGTTATTTGTCACAAACAAATTGAAACATCAAAATTGAAAATTATTCGATTTAATTATCACAAAATTTTAAATCATATTAAGACAGATCTAGTTTCCGATTATATCACTTAACTTATTCAAATAATTTAGCTCGGATACATTTAAAACTTCACCCACAAACTCATATTCATCATTTTTACTTACATTATTTCTTCTCAGTTATAGTTACTTTAAAAA